TTCCTGCTGTGAACTTTATTATTTACTTTATTCTGCCTACTGACTGGAGTCAGACCAAATATCTTTTATATCAATATACGTAAGTATGTTAAATCCCTTTATTTAAGAGAGAGAGAGACTTTAAATTTTGTTTTTAAAGAAATCTACTTATGATTTCAAGAGGCATACTTAAAACAAAATGACAGAAGACTAAAAATAAAAGACAAATAGGCAGATGATGCCATAAAGAAAGCAAAGTAATGATAATAACACCAATCGAAGTAGAATTCAAGGCACAAAGAATCAAATGAAAATTTGTGTAGCAGTACCAGAAAATCACATAAATTCGTGTTATCTCTGGCGTTCTTCCTTTTTATCAGTTATTTGACATCTTGAAAATGAGGGTCACTCTACTCATTCCACAGTCAGTATAATAGAACTAACCCTCATAAGCAAATCTTTTTTAAAATAAACATTCTTTTTAGTTGTGTCCTTTTTAAAAAATGATCAAGATGGTTTCATGTTCGTAACTATGTGTGGTTTCCCTGGTATACATGATTTATCTGTCAAAATTCGTGATTCTAATCCTTAAATCATAAAAATGCCTTGATCGGGTATGATTACACACATCTGCTGTGGTATCTGACATTAGGCCATCATACTGCTAACGTTACTATTGAGAAAGCCAGGTGAGGGTGAGAGAGATTCTTCCACAGGGCATGCTCTTGTTTCCAGAGACAGTGCATGTTGCTGACTCACATGCCTCTCTTGGCCTCACTAATATCTCACATCACATAGCACTTGGCAAAAGAAAAGAGTAAAACAGGAATATACTACAATTAATTTGACATTTGTGTTTGTTCTATATATTCTAAGTGTTTGCCTTTTTGTTTTTTTTAATGTAGTTAATGCTGCCTACCTTGGGAGCCAAGAAATGATGGAGGTGGTGAAGAGAGACAATGAAACCATAAAGGAACATTTATCTAAGGTAATCACTTTAGTGCTACAAGGAGGTAAGTAAATGGGCAGAAATACTTACTGAGGATGAAAGGCTAGAGTTGGTTAGAATCTGTAAGACCTCAAGGGTTTGTAAATTTCAGATCAAGTTCTACTTCTAGTTAACATTAAGGCAGTCCTTGAAAGTTGAATAGAAAGTAAGTAAAGCTGACTACATAGTTACTTAAATATGTTTTGCCACCTGTTTTTGTTGCGTTTATTTTTAGAATCGATTCTTCTCTCTAGAGCTTTATACTGAAAAGACTCTCAATAATATTTGTGGAAGAAATGAGTTATATTAAAATATAAGTGAAACATTGGGAAAGAACTAACATGCCTATGATCTGATGATCCAGTGAGCCCGTCTCTCTTATTCTCCAATGCATTAGAGTAGGAATGCCCAGCTGACACCAAGGCGAGTTTTCTATACAAGCAGGTGCAGAAAGGCAACAATTGAAATATTTAGCATTTTTGAGTTGCTGCTCTAAGTGCTAGAATCTTAACACAGGCTATTTGGAAGCACAGTTTCTGAAACTGTGAGGGGCCATGGTTTAGAATATGTCTAAGCACCCTAGAATTAAGGTGGCCCTGGTACTCCCATGGCATCATTTGTCTGTCTGTCCATACAGCTGTCTGTCTGTACAGCTGAATAGGATAGAGCTGTGCCATCTAACACGGTAACCACTAGCCACATGTGGTTGTTTGTGGCTACTCTGAATTGAGATGTGCCATGAGTGTAAAATACACATTGGATTTCAGAAACTTAGTACCAAAAAAATAAGTAAAATAGTTCATTAATATTTTTATATTGATTACCTGTTGAAATGATAATATTTTAGGTACGTGGGGGTAAATAATATATATTATTAAAAGCAATTTCATTCATTCCTTTATACTTTTAAAAATGCAGTTACTAGAAGTTTTTAAATTACCAGTGTGCCTTTGTATTTCTGTTGGACTGTGCTAATATAGAGCTTTGCAGTCCAGTGCTGCACCGTGACATCTGCTGGATGCAATGAAACGAGCCCCACTGAGTGACCAACTCTTATAGGGCCCAGGAACCTACAATCTGCAAGTAAAATCTTAGATATCCTGCTGGGTTTAGAATCTCTTCATAAACTTTGAGACATTTGACTTAAACTTGCCCATAGTGTTAATTCATTATTTCTATAACCTCCCAATACAATTATCTTAAAGCAAGAAATGTATATGTTCTTGGGCTTCCCTGGTGGCGCAGTGGTTGAGAGTCCGCCTGCCGATGCAGGGGGCGCGGGTTCTGGCCCCCGTCCGGGAGGATCCCACATGCCGCGGAGCGGCTGGGCCCGTGAGCCGTGGCCGCTGAGCCTGCGCGTCCAGAGCCTGTGCTTCACAACGGGAGAGGCCACAACAGTGAGAGGCCCGCATACCGCAAAAAAAAAAAAAAAAAAGAAATGTATATGTTCTTAAAACAATATTTTTAGAATATTGATCTATCGTAGCTTCACCCAGAGAGGACTTTTGAAAGTGCCAGTCTGTGTTTGTCTTATGGCCATAGTGGTCATCATATTTCTAAAATAGCAATTGGCCAGAGATTGAAATTTTGAAGACAGAGGAAACCCTCATTAGCTGAATGGGGGAGGTTGGGGCCTCATAAGGACCCTCTTTCCAGGGCTTTCAACTGTTTCCACTCATTGACGTATGTGAAAATGCAAGAAAAACAGTGTTTTATTTTTTAGTTAAATTATAAGTGAATTTGTTTCAAAGCTGTGCTTAAGTTCTCAAGGCTGGAAGTTCATAAAAACAACTCAGTTCCCAGTTAATAATAAGACTGGCAGATGCTCATTTCCAAAATTCACACTTGCTGAATGACTAGACCCATCATGTGTCAAAGCCTGTCTTACCACCTGTGGAAGCCAGCTGCTGTAAAGTACTCATCATTCCTGGATTCTGTTTGTATGCTGTGCTCAGAAGGAGGTCAAAGGAAGGTCCTAACTTATTCCTGTCCTAAGTTAAATCCATATGCAAGTGTAATCATTCCCAGATAGAGGGCTGCTTATGGTAACCGTGTCAGGACCATACTTTACTGACACTTTTGTGGGAGAAATATGGGGGTATAATAGTAGATGGCAGGCATTTCAAGGTTAATATTAACAGATGATCACAGGACTAAACTTTTCCAACTACAGGGAATGGTTTTATTTTGTTTTCAAGATAACATGACATGTACTTGTGGAGTTTGGGAAAGCAAGGCATTGTTTAGTTTAATGATGCACAACTACCTGCGATTAATTGAATGTCCTTTCTACCAGCTAAGTTTGAACTTTCCACTAGAATAATACAATTCCAATTCCTAAGTGAAACGAGGTATAGAAAGACAGGAAGTTTATTGCAATTTTTTTGTTTCTGTAATGAAAAAAATGGAAACATGCTGTAATTTAATATTGGTAAAAGTTGAATCAACATATGTCTCAGTCTGCTTGAGAAAGTAAGGAAACTTAAAAGGGCACATAGTTCTAGCAAAATAGTGGGCATTTTCCCCTGCCTTCCAAACAACCCTGATAATTAGTCAGACTTGAAAATCAGTTCCCAAGACTAGACATATCCCTACTTTAAATATTCTAGTCAAGGATACTCTGTCTCATTTCTGCCCAAATATAAGCATTCAGAAACTTTGTGCCTCTCCAGGACTGTCCATTGTAAAGATGTTTTGAGCCACACATTATGTTGCAAAAATCGTTAAATATATCTATTATTCAACTTTTAAAACAGTTCTGGAAAATGTATCTTTGTGCCATCCAGTCAGGAAGCCACAGGAGATTTAGTCTAAAAACAGTCATTCTACCACCACATGTGGATGGCTTTTGGATTCTTTCTCCTCCTCTAGAAAACTATTATATCATAATCAGCAGACTTTGGTTCTAAATACAAATTTTTTACCACTGAATTTCCACAAGAAGAGAACTTTTTATCTTCTTGAGGGAAATGTGCCTTTTTAACTCTGAAAAATCTCCGGAGCTGATTGTCTCCCTTCCTTCTTTCCAAGGTCTAGAGACTTTACAGACAGTGTCAGACACTGCTGCAGCACTACATAAGGTTATTTCCCTTTCCTGAAGCAAATATGTCAGACTCAGTTGTTTCCAAAAGAATATAGTAGGGCCTATGACATCATAGGTTGTGTTCTTTCTTCACCTGACTAAATTCTACCTGTCCTTTAAGACTTGGCTCCATTGTCATCTTTATTTTTTTTTTTTTTTTACTTTTTTGGTACGCGGGCCTCTCACTGTTGTGGCCTCTCCCGTCGCGGAGCACAGGCTCCGGACGCACAGGCTCAGCGGCCATGGCTCACGGACCCAACCGCTCCGTGGGATGGGGGATCTTCCCGGACCAGGGCACAAACCCGTGTCCTCTGCATCGGCAGGCGGACTCCCAACCACTGCGCCACCAGGGAAGCCCTCCATTGTCATCTCTAAAAGGGCTTCCGCAGCCCCTGGTTTTGGTTAGAAGTCCCTCCCCTCGGCTCCCATGGCTCCATATGTAAAGTTATAATATTGCATTTATCACACAGTATTTAAACAGTTGGTTTTCCCCTCTCACCCACCTTGAAGGTTTTTCTCATCTTGGTATCCCTGTGGCCTAGCACAATGCATGATACCTGGTGAACAATCAATAGATGTATACTAGATGAATGGACAGGAAAGCTGTTACAGATTCTAAGCCTTTTTTGTGCCGTGGATCTCTCCAGCTGTGTCGTGTGTGGACTCCTTCTCAGAATAATATTTTTAAGTGCATGAAATAAATACATGAGATTACCAAAAAAACAATTATATTGAAGTATAGTTATCAAAATATATTAAAAGCAAATTTGTGATATATAATTTGTGCATCTTTATTAACAAACTAAATAATGAGATATAATAGCAGTCAGAATTACTATTGTAAATATGTAGTGATGTGCATAAACTTTTAGTTACTTAATTTTACTGTAATTTGAAAATTTCAGTAATTTTATAGATGACATTTCTATATTTCTGTGGTTTGTTGCCTGTATTCATAATTGAAGGAAATACTAAATTATTGTTAGAGGTTAGCAAAAAAAATGATATATTCTTTTTCCCATCCAAGTTTACATTACTCCGCTCCCCTCAACTGCCACTGCATCTACCCATGAAACTGTGTGGACCTGTAGATCCCAGGTGAAGAAGTCGCTTTGAGGCACTAGAAAAGGTTAGGGAATATATGGTATTGTGGTTTGGGCACTGGCCTGAGAACAAGAAGCCACGATATGCTACACTAAAGAGACTATTCTGAGTTGTTAGGGAACCATTGAAGGATTTAAGGAAGGAGGTAATAATCAGGGTGACACTCAGAATGTTTGACAACCATATGACATAACCACTGACCCATCAGAACATATGCCATCTGTGAACAAACAGCCAGTTCAGAGGTGCCAGTTCATATCAGTTAGTCCTAGGAATGTGGCTAGATTAACCAATGAGAGGGATTATTTGGGGGGAAATGTGTATCAGAATGTTGCAAAAGAATTAAATTTGAAGTGGGAAAACTGTTTAGAAGACGTTTACAAGAACTAAGGCAGTGGAATTGGGGATAAAGAAGGGGTAGAATTTGGAAAGATTTAGGAAGTAGAATCAAAGACACTTAGTACTCATAGGATATGAGGGAATGGAGATGGAGTCTAAGATTATTTCTCTGTATTTGGATTTTGTAACAAGATAGGGAATATGGGAGGAGAAGTGCCAGCAAGTTGCGGGAGCTGGTTGAGAAAGTAGTTCATTTGGGTACTTTTGTTTGAGATACCTGTGGGACATCCGGGGAACACATGTCTGGCAGGTAGCTGGGTATATGGGTGTGAAGCCTAGAAGAGGAATCTGGGCTGAATTTTGATTTGGGAATGATGAGGATATATTTGGAGTCATGAGCATGGAAATAGTAACCCAAGGAAGTATGTAGTATAAGGAGAGAATACATCTAAAAGCTGACCCTTGGGGAACACAT